CAGTAATCTAACATTTAGCAGATTGGCCTACCTGTAACGCTGTAGATTCTTATACGTAGAATGCTAGGTTTGGATCCTGACCAAGATATCGATTACCCCAAGGTGTTTCGTGGTTTTCCTCAGTCCCTAAAGATAATACCGTGATTTAATCATGAGCCCTTCTTTCATAATCCTTATCTTTCGTCAGCAAATCCTACCATTCAACGCTATATAGTCTGTATATTTACAGCTTCGTATATTAACCCACACGAAACGTTATTGCATTGTATGTAGTTTATGTTTTGGATAGCGTAGCTTTAGTTCGCGCCGCCCTTTAAAGTTATGGAACGTTTTAAAATGTGGAGTGACCATTCCGTGGCGTTTATGTCATGTTTATAACTCAACTGTATTCAGACCGAATCTTGATAGTTCCATAACGAGAACAAGGCGGGTTTGATGAAGCGTCAAATTTGAATGCTGACGGCAGGCAACAAAGTTTGATGGTGTTTTCATGTTGGCCGCGGTTCTGAACGCTTAATGTTCATACCATGATGTTGTGTTACAGCCTTCGATCCGCTCTGCTATCTCCAGACGCATCTGACATCTAGCGGAGAAATTGAGAATGAGAAATGGCCCTACCGTCACCCCGTCTGCGACATTACAGGTCTCCAAAACAATGGAAAATCAAAACGAATTTCTTGAATTGCATTTACTCTTGTTTATTTAAATTTCAAACACACAAAAGGACGTGTTCTGTTTTCTTTTTCTAAAAGTCAGACTGACATTATGATTGTCTTTCAAAGGCTTTGACACTCATTCGTCGGTCTGAACTTTGCATGACCGAATTTAGAAGAGCACATAATCTTTGTCTAAAAATGTGTAGGTTCATCATTTATAATAGCCTGATAGTGAATGCTTATTTCTGAATATAGTAGATTCGGATGTTTTGCATTTTGCTTATGAAAATGACGCATTAATATATATTCGAAATATTTATAAATTTAAATTTCAGTTAACGTATTTTATTTTTAAAGTTAAAGAATTTATTCGAAATAGAATATATTTCCTTCTAAATTATAAGAAATATAATTATTTTGGATTGTTTCGATAATTTATATAGTATTTTTGTACAGCAAATGAGTTACGAACCAATACTCCCCCACCCACAACAATTGAACTTTGTGTTACTGCGTAATTGTTATGCATTCAGATTATTAATATTCTAGAAAAAGCCGGAATGTTTTCTTCTTGTCATGTTATTGAATCTGTAGAAATGATATTGAATTCACTCGTTGCACGTCATTGGGTCACTGCACATCACTTTCTTGAGAATGAAATGTATTAGGAGTTTGGTGATCGAGATCTTGGTGCATGATTAGTATTTTCACTGGTGACTTCACGGCAGATTTTTGATTTACCATGCACTCAACAATTGCCTGATGTGTTCCGCATGGAATTAGCCACGTAGATCATAGATACGACTTCTCTACGAGTCTAGTATAATTCAGCAGTCATTCTTTTCTAAGGTATAAGGAACAGTGTTGCCAGTTCTAAATCAATGAACTATTAAAAGTAACTTCCAAAATACACGTAACATTGAAGGCTAATATTGATTTTAATTATTTTGAAATATAATTAGTTTTAATAATGATTTTAATTTACTTTAAATCATCCAGACTCAAGGTATAATGAAGAATCTTCCCCTTTTCTTAATTATTGTCCTTTTCTTTTCCCTTCTTTTTCATCTTGCCCTTCTTTGTATCCTTCCTCGATTATATTTTCCCCCATCTTCCTCCATTTTCTTCATGTAATTTTGCTTCTATTTCAGCTCTTCTGCTTTTTATTTATTTTTTTATTTTCTTTCCTATTCATTTACCTCCTTTTCCTGCACATTATCCTCCTTCGCGTCTCTCTCCTTCTCATTCTCTACTTATCCTCTCTTCTTTCTTTACATCATTTTCTACAACGTCCTGTCCTGCGCACTTGTGCGTTTCCAGTATGAATTTAGTAAGGCATACTAGACAGGACATACAGAATGGTCGAAAAGTCTGTTAACTGATTGGTAAAATATATATTAAAATACGCTGAAAATTTCCTCGTTACTTACTGAATTTATAAAAATTGTTTTCAGGACTCACAACGCTGTGATACCATTCTACAAATTGACTGGTAGGTTAAAATCAGAGAATTTCCCTTATTGAACGAGAATTTTTAAGGTTAACTGATTTTTGGGGCACTCTGTATACTGCAAAGCCATGATGTTTTGTTTGGTCCATAAATCTGAACAAAGCAATTCTGATTTCTCTGTGACACTGTTATAACCAGAGTCCTTAGTTACAGCTCAGGATGAATTATACACATTAAAAATATATATATTTTTATTTAATGCGTTGGCTCTAAAGTCACTGAAGTATTCTAAGTACATACTACAATACTGAGTCGTGAAATTACATTCTGATAAAACAAGGTTTCAGTTGTTATGGTTCAGTGTTAATTAACCATTTTGTTGATACGATTATTAAGTGTAGCTTTCCACATTCATGTAGAGTTTAACTTAGTTTTTGAAGTATTATTTTAGATCATAACAAAGCAGGGAAATTTACCAATAGACAATTATGAAAATGTGTTCTCTTTTCGCATGCATTTACAAGTAAAATGTTTTACTTTGCATAATATTAAATTTAAAAAGAACGTTGATCATAATTATGCATAAATTTCAAAGCCTTGTTGATATTTCTAAAATCAATGTCAAGCACTTTTAATAAATAAATAATCGTTCCGTTGGCAACTGGTCACCAAGTTGTAACATTTCTTCATAAGATAACGTATACACAGATAATTAATATTGCTCGTAAAATGTAGGTTAAGAAATGATAAATGCAGATATGGTAGTGTTACATTGTTCCTCTCGCAGAAGAATGGCTGCTTGATAAGGTAGAAGGGATGTTTTGAATTTTCTTCTCTGCAAAACTTGCATAGGTTTCATCAGACACAATGCATGTCGCTATGGAATGTTCTGATTACTGCAGAAAGCTATTCATAGAGGTCTCTGCTAGCGTAACAATGACGTTATTGTAACAAATGCTATATCTTCATTGTTACGCTGCTTTCTCTATTTCTTTCTCGCGTCATTTCTACATTTACAGTTGGCAACAAGAGAATTATTACATCATGAAGCACAGCCTAATGCTGGAACTAACTTTCATGGTTTGTATATCCCTTAAACTCCAGTTACACTGCGACAGTGGTACCAACTTGATGTAAATAAATATTATATAAAATGAAGTACAATGTTTCACAAATGTTTTCATGAACTGAACTTTGATTAGGAACGCGGTTAGATCCACGGCTTGAATTTATGTGAAGTAAATGTTTGTGGGATAAGAGAAACTTGGTCATAGATCAGACGAAAAAGAACGTAACAAAAATGTGTATACGTAAAGTGGAGTTAAGAAAATTTTCGTGGGTTAGAGGTGGCAGTTCATGTTCCATCTCCAGATATCTTTTTCCCAAATAAATGACTACCGAAACCCAATGAAGTGACGTTAAGATTCACATTTGTTTTGGTGCAGTGGGGAAATAAGTAATTTCCCAGCTGTTGTGTTTACGGACATTATCCAACCTCCTGCTTTGTATTTAAAACACACAACGGCTCTGTCTTCAGTCAAAGACGAACTGAGTTGGGCCCAATAGATAGAGGTAGTCCCTGTCTAGGTCCGGAGATAGGGAATAGCTCCGTCGATTGGGCCCAACTGAACAGCCTTCTATCTGAGGACGAAGGCAGAATCCAATCTCCGAAACGTTGTGTGTCTTAAATAAAAAACAAACAGGACGATGTGTAATGTCCAGAAATACGGTTATTTCATTAATATACCATCGTCAAAAACTTTTGAAATAATTTCCCACTCACTACCGAATCTCGGAACTTCAGTTTCAAATTCATAACTCTTCATCTCTCTGACTGAGCCTTGATGGCTTAGTGTTGGGCTCATAACCTTGTTACTAAGAATAGGTTCCCTGTCACTGAATAAAAACGTTATTACGAAATTTTACATATGAAACCTCTGATTTCCCTTCTGTCCTGCCGAGATGGAAAAGAATATCGCTCTAATAGGCCGTGAGGGCCCATAGGGTTGTGAGACGACGAGGCTCCCACATTTTCTACACAATAGTGTGTCTGGATTAGATCAATTGAAAAATCCAATGACCTAATCGGGAATTGAACCTACGACCTTCCGGCTTGTAGCGTAGTGCCTCAGCCAACTACGCTACTGCGTGCCCCCTCCCGCCGAGGGATTGAAAATATTATGAACAAAGGATTGTTGGTGGATTTAAAATTTTATGAAGGTGAGCTTGAAGAGTACCGTCTTCTGGGATGTGGCCTGGTGCAGTCTGGTATAAATTAATTGACATTCCAGAGAACCGTAGTGCCTCCTTCTTCAGGGTCGGAGAATAAGTTAGTCAAGCAGCTAAAAAGGAGCAAACAATACTTGAGGTTACTGGGATTACAAATTCAGCTCGTACCTCACAGAAAACACCCTGCATCTCCGTGGAAAAAGACTAACTTGTAAATATTGTATAAGGAAATAACCATGTTCATTCTGAGAATCGTACGAAACAGATAAATGCACTGCGTGGACAAAGTGCAGAAACTTTAATGTTAAGCTAATGGTACATATAGTTACAACCGCGCTTTAAATGCTCAGAGGAAACGTTGTATGGTACCATGTACTGAAGATATGAGGACAGATGTGGTGATACACATGCAATAAAGTAGATCACCGGTTAATTCTTCGTGAAATTCGACAATATGCTTTATCTGACTGCTTATATCGATGAAATCAAATCATCGGTTAATTCCATGTGAAATTCGAAAACATGCTTTGGCCATCCTATCATTTTGATGACGTTATGGCAGTGTTAATCGTATACTAAAAGTAAGCTATCGGTTAATACCAAAGCGGTTAATTTGACAGCGTGCCTTGCCCCATTCATCCGCTAGGGTGCTCTGTTGGTTGCAGGACCATGACAGCCATCTGCTTCGTGTGCAACCTGCCCATCCTCAGTCATCAGGTGGGCCTTGTCTGGCAGGGCGGGAATGGCTGGGATGACCTCGTCCGGGAGCAGGTGGAGGAGTCCACCTTGCGGCAGCGTCTGGGAGCAGGGCGTCGCGACTCCGCTGCCCAGATCACCAGCATCAGCCCGCCCACGGAGACGCAGGAAACGTCACCGCCTGGCTCAGGTAAAGAACAGAAAGGAGTCGTCTCAACTGCAACCAACCAACTAATTCCATGGAGCTGAACCTTTCTTGAAAAGCCGCCAATCAGGCAACTACTGAAGAATCTCCTAAAATTTTATGGTACCCGAAGGTTCATTGCCGTGTTCACAAGAACCTTTCACTGGTCCCTATCCTGAGCTAGATCAATCCAGTCCATACAGTCCAGTCTTGTTACTCTAACATCCATTTTAATATTATCCTCTCAACTCCTCACGTCTAGGTCTTCATAGTCCTCTCTTTTTTTTTTTGCGTTCTCATCAATATTCTATATGCATTCCGCTTCTCCTCCTTGGTGCTACATGTCCTGCCTATCTCATCCTCCTTGACTTGATCACTCTAATTATTCTGGGCGATGAGTACAGATTCTCAACTGCAACTAAGCCATAATATGAAGTACTTGAATTTGAGGTCATCACAGCGGTGTAGTTCGGAAACAGTCCGATGTTTCGGAGGAACACAGCGCTTCCATATTCAGAGTAGAAGAGTAAGAGAACTTCGCTTCTTGTTGTCTTATAATTCTACTCTGAAGATGGAGGTAATGTGTTCCTCAGAAACGTCGATATGTGTGCGATGTACACAATTTTTCAACCCAGAAGTTTGCACTCTTTACAGAATCCTCATGTGTGAAATCTAGGCTGTCTCGGTGTTGAATATGAATGTGACGTCTTGTAGTTTCGGTAGAACATGCTGCTTCCAACTTCAGGGTAGAAGACTGAGACAGTTGGCCCTTGACAAACGTTGGAATATTCTTACCAGACTACAATCTGTCATAATCCAAAGGCCTCAAATAGTAAATCTTCACAGCTGCGAAAAATTTATATTTCATTAAGCCCATCCCTTCTCTTCACTCAATAGAAATTTGAACGAGCAGGCTAATGCAACGGTAACGTTTTGGACGTGTATTCGGGGGCGTGGGTACTCCGTTTGAATCTCGGGCAGGACAGCGGCCATTTTCGTGATTATTCCCACTGTCTATACGTGTAAATATTCCTGGATAATATTTCTTTGAGGCCACGACCGCTTCCATTCATATCCTTTCCAATCTACCATCCGCAGATGTAACCTCTGGATGCTGACAGTATCGCTGAACAAAGCAGACAGCACAAGCCGTACTGATTTAATTCTTTGTGGTTTGGTCTGACAGTAGAATTAGAGGAAGGGAAAAAAATTAAAGTAAACAAGAGCCCACTGTGAATTCGAAATACGTCAATTAAATGCTCCCCCCACTCCCCACAGCCTTTAAAATAGGTTTAGTTCAGTCACATTTTAATTAACCCAACCTGTACTTAAATTTCAATTAGGATGCCCTATATTACTTCTCTCTTAATTGGATCATTGATTATTTTAGTGGCAATAAATGATTGATGTACTTTAGCGGCGTAGCGGCATTGTTTCAGGGACATGGACTTGGCTGCTGACCGTCTGTCTGTGCTCGTGAAACAACTCGATAACTATTCAGCGTGTTTTGAGACGATCCTGTGTCAGGTAGTTATCGTAACACTTGCCGAATTTGGTTAAAATGGGTCCAAAATAATTGACACTTTACATGAAGAGCTCCATGCCATTTTGGGAATATTTTAACTGATATCGTGACGGGATAATCCATTACTAGGCAACGGCTCGGTAAACACTGCTTAAAAGCCGGAATAGCAGAAGAAGCGGAAATCAATTTTCTATGCAATGGCTCAGGAGCATCTGTTTCTGCGGCAACGAATAATAACAAAAAATCCCCTTGACAATTACCAGAATAATAGAGGACAATTAACTGTTCGACTTAGTGGCTTATATTTGGGCCGCGTGGCAGTTATAAAAGGAAGTTCCCAAGGTTCTTCATAGAGATTCGTCAGACAGACGTCGTTAAAGAGATTTCAATGTGTGAGCAGTTATGAGTGACTGTAATTGTAAAGAAGTGCCAGTAATCCCAATCATCAAATCCAGAACCCATTATTATTAGTCACGGAACTCCCTGATACATGACAATATTTTATACTGTTTCTGATAACATTAAAATAGAAACAGCCGCGACCGCTCCAACGGTATAGCGGCGGTCTATGGGATGGAAGGCCGGACTTCAATTGCCGGCGAGGACAAGAGACATTTCTCTCCTCCACAGCATCCAGTCCGGCTCTGGGCGCACCCAGCCTCCTATCCAGTATATACCGGGACTTTCTCCGGGTGCAAAGCGGCCGAGACGTGAAGCTTAGCACTCGTCTCCGTCTAGTGTCGAGGTCAAGAATGGTGAAGCTATTACATTATTCCACTATTCCATGCGTCTTCATGGCGTGTTGCTTAATTAGTTAAGCACAGGGATACATTTATATTTTACCTTACGAAGCTCGCATGATCAAATATTTATAACAGTAGATCCCATTAATTTTAAGCTACATTGGGTTATAACACCGTGCAGTTAGCAGAGAATGAGATTTCGCAGGAATATATCGCCGCAGTCATCAGGGCAGAATTGCAACCCACACAGTAAATCAGTTTTTGCCTTGTATTTCCGCTGGTTTATTCCTGACGGGTTTTTCCTCGACACTGGAGATAGAGGCAGTATGTTCCTTCGAAAATTCTGACTGTCTCCAAATTGCACGGCGTTACAACTCAGAAAACTATACTCTTCACACGTCACAACTTCGCGTACTGTGAACGTTAAAGGGTGGATCTTTTCGAATCCGTGAAGTTCGTCCCTCACGTGATAGCGTTTCTTGATTCTGGTTTCAATTATTTCAGGAGCCATGACAAGGAGACGCAGAAGCTCGCTGGCTCAGTTCACGGACATCTTGCGAGAGTGGAGCGGTAGCACTAAAGTTTCCCGAAGCAAGGAACCTCAGCTGCACCGTCGCGAGACACTGGCTGATATCGCGAAGAGCCTTCCTTGGGGTCGTAGCTCCACGACCGATTCCTCCACAGTGGCAGCCCTCAGGAAGCGCCGTGAATCTTCGGCAGATCCAAGTATCAAACTAGCCAAGACACGGCGTGACTCTACGGCAATCAGCGACTTCCGGTCCGATTTGGCACGTTTCTGGTCCCGTCGCGAATCAACTACCACCGTCATAACGCCGAGAGAACCTTCCCAGCAGCGTCGCGGTTCTGGGGAGTCATCCCGGAGCGGGCGCCGGGACTCAACGACGCTGATTAACTCAAGAAGAGGCTCTGGTGAGTCGTCGCGTTCTGGAAGGAGGGATTCTATAAACACGTCATCAGCTGTGACAGCATCGCCACCGAAGCTACATCACCACCATCATCATCATCCCCATCAGCATCACCATAGGAGAAGAGACTCAAGGACGGGAGAACCAAAGTATTACCGGCAAGAACAGAGACCTTCAACATCAAGTACCGCGTCAGACAGCGGCCCAAGTGTCAGCTTACTCGTCACGCAGCCTTCCACGGCAGGTACGACGGCGTCGTAGGTTCTGTAAGAACTAACAAACTAACACCACTGAGCTGAGCTCTCTTCCAGAAGCCGCCAGTGACGCAACCACTCAAGAATTTCCCAGAATTTTATAAAACCTGAAGGTTCATTACCTTGTTCACAAGAGTCCGTCATTGGCCCCTATCCTGAGCCAGATTAATCCATTCCCATTCTATCCCTCCAAGATCCATCTTAATATTAATCTCCCACCTACGTCTGGGTCTTCTTAGTGATCTCTTTCCTTCTGGTTACCCAACCAAAATCCTACATGCATTCATGTTCTTCCCCATGCTTGCTTCTGCATGAACTGCACCAATCAATTAATTAACCCGCGCTGTGCGGTGTGTCCACTTGGTTCCGCGGCCACTGTCTGGCCTATTGTGCCAGCCCCGGATGATAGATGATGAGTGTGGAGCAGTTGGTGGAATCAGAATTGGCAGAGGAAACCTATCCCATTGCCACTTGGCTCACCACAAATCCCACATGGCGTGACCTGGGCTCGAACCCGGGTCGCCGCGGTGGGAAGCCTGCGACTAACCGCCCGAGTTATGGCACAGCCAACCGCAACAGTTACTCTCGTTTCATGGCTTTTTAACGACGATATCTATGTAGCTCCAGATGGTAAGACGAGAGGTGAATGGTGAATTGCAGAGGATTTGGGAGGAAGCGGTATACTGGCCTGGTTAAGACAACATACCAGTATTTTTCTGGACTGTCTGAGGAAAGGCACTGAAAACCTCAGTCACTATAGCATATGTCCCGGCTGATGTTCTAGTCAAGTACCTCCACAATACTGGTCAAAATTATTGTCACTACTGGAGTCTGATGGAATGCGGCTCCTTGCAGTAACATTGACAGGCAAAACTATTCCTGTAACGGGCTGTGGAGCCCCTTGGGTTGTAAGACGTCGAAGCTCCCACATTTGCTAGACAGTCGGCTCACAGATGGCGGTGAGATCAGACTTACGTGTCGGCCGACCTCTACTCCTAGAAATATTCCTGGTACTCATTTCTGTTAGAAATTGAGACAACCCCCAGGGTCATATTGCGGCTGGAAGAATTAGGTAAATTGAAAAATGCAGTGACCTCAACGGGAAAGGAACCCTCGAGCTTCTGTCTTGTAGCATAGTGCCTCAACCAGCTACGCTACAGTGTGTTCCCTAGCTGGATAGAGAGGTACCAGTATTTCTGAGGAATCTGCTACCTCCAACCTCACGGTAAAAGCTTACCGTCTACTCTTCGATCTTCCAAGTGAGCGCTTTCTGAGAGGTTTCCCCACATAAATTATTTGTAAATTACTTCTCCATACGAACTGTTCGGTAGAAGACATCCCAGGCTTGGAAGAATATAGGTCTGTGCAGGTCACAATTAAATTTGTGACCATAATTTGAACATGTAGAGACTATAAAATTACAGTATCCAAAGAATATTGGAACCATTTTTAACATTTGGCTATGAAACATGGCCCTCGACTAAAAGGAATGAAGTCATTTTCAGTACGTAAAAAGTAAAATTGTCCCTGTATTTAATTAATTAACCACGTATGGAGGAATTGATGTACAGCTCCACCGTTCTTGATTTCAGCACGAATTGGTAGTCTTCAGGTTCACGCCCCAGCCGCTTTACCCCTGCGGAAACAGACCCCGTTTCCCATTGGATAGGAGGCTAGGTGGGACCCAGAGCTAGTCAAACGGCGTGTAGAGGAGAGAAATATTGCCCCTAACCGGGAATCGAACCCCGGCCGTGTAGTCAGTCGCTTTACGGAATGAGCTCTCCAACTTCTTTTTAAATACGCAGGAAGTGGAAGATTTTGAGGAAGGTGTATGGACCGGTAACTGAAGAAAAGGGCTAGAGAATCAGAACTAACCAAGAACTGAGGGAACTGCATAAACTCTCTGGTCTGAGATGGTCTGAGTGAATGAACAAGGAATGGGTGGCTCAATAAGCCACAAGGTAGAGGAGAAGTTTGTGGGAACTGCCCACATTCTAAGCAATGATACTTGCGTTGTCACATTTGCTTGAATGTGGGCAGTTCCCACATCACCCACCCCACGGAGATTGTTGCTCTGGTCTCTTAGGAATACCGGCATCGTGTTGTTCGTCTTCCATTTGGTCTTCCTGTCCTCGTCTGGTACGTAGTTTGCCTTGTAAATTCTCCATCTGTGTTACGTACTGTTGCAGGAGGGCTTCTATTCGACCGTTGTCCATTCTTTGTGTTGTATTGTTGGGGTCACCAATGTGGGATGTCATTATATGAAGAGACAACCACTTGTTGAACTGTTCTATAATATTTATTACAGTTGCACAGTATACCCAGATGTTGAAGGGGCCTGACTAATGTAGGTGGAAGATGCAGAGAATGGTTTGTGAGAGCTAGAAATGACCTCTTATAGGATGAAGGTGTTCAACTTACTTGCCAGGAAGCGCGTCCCACCTGCATTTCGAAGATCAGTCCGCTAAGCACTCAGCAGCTTCGGACCCAATTTCTCTCGTCTCCTTTTCCCACTCCTCCACTTTTATCATCTTCTCCTGCCATTCTTTTTACATGACAGTATTTTTCTCCATCACGTTTTCAGTCTTTTACGTCTCCCCCTATTTCTCTTTAATTCTATCTCCCTAATTTATCTCCTTACTCTACTTCCCACCTTCCATTCTTCTCTCATCCCTCTCACATCTTCCTCTCGTTTAAATTAACTACAAATCATTTTTCCCCCCTTTATCCTTCACTTCTCTGTCGTAAACTTCTCTTCCTGCGTCATCTTTTTCATCTCTCTTCTTTCCTGTTTCTTCATCTTATTCTTCTTATACTGTTCTCCATTCATAATCTTCCACTTCCTTGCTTCTGTTGTGTTTGGCATCTGAAGTGGTCACTATAAATACCACTTTATTTAGCACGCTAAAAGTCTTAATTTTGCCCACATATTGTATCCGTGTTTCACATGATTATCGTAAAAACAGTAATTATTTTACTACATGTAATTAACCAATTGATTTTTGTGTTAGAGCTGTATTGTGTCGCCTGTGGGGTAGAATTGTTATAGATGAAAAGGGAAATATTGCCGTTTTTCTGAGAATCAAACTTGTGTAAAATTTATGGGCGAAATTCGGCGATATTTATCATCACAACAAGCGGTATACAGAGTTACTATAAGGCCGCGCCATAGCTCAAGCGGTTAGTCGCTGGCTTCCCATCAAGGCGGCCCGGCTTCGCTCCCCGGTCTGGTCAAGTGGGATTTGTGGTGGACAAAGTGGCGCGGGGGCAGTTTTTTTCCGAGTACTTTGGTTTCCCCTGCGAATCTTCATTCCACCAATTGCTCCACAATCACCCTCACCTATCATCTAGGGCTGGTACAATAGGCCAGAAGTGGCCGCAGTACAAGGGACTTAGTCCCACCCAACTAGCAATAAAAAATAGTTACTGTTGCCCTGCCCATGCATATAACTGTGATTCGGTGTTTCAGGTTTCTCGGGGCCGACAGCTGCAGCAGAACCTCAACAGGCACTGCCCCCTCCCACGATCATCACGTCCTCCACGACGCCACCCGCCACATCTCCAAACACTGCCGCTGTGCCCATCTTGGTGCCCACCACCACCACTACCACCACCACAGCGTCTTCCTCACCCCCCGCCACGAATTCCACCACGACTGTTGCGCCAGCCACAACAGCCAGCACTCCAGTGACAACCACACATCCCTTGCTGGCCACACGGAGAGATTCCACTACGCAGGTACGCTGTTTGTGGGCATGTTCGTCGCTTCGATATCACCAGCGCTTAAAATATGCGGACAGCCTCCTTCCAAACAGTTTATATTTCATGATTCAAAGTTCCCACCCATTTCATAAAATGATAAAGCTATCCCTGTAACAGGCCGTGGAGACCCATAGAGCTATGTGACGTCGAGGCCCCACATTTTCTAGACAATCGGCTCACAGATGGCGGTGAGGTTGTCAGCCTTTATTCCCAGGAAGCTTCGTGATATTAATTCCTGTTAGAGGCAGAGTCGACCCCAAGGCCATAGTGCGGCTGGAAGAATAAGGTCAGTTGAAAAGTCCAGTGATCTTATCGGGAACAGAACCCGCGACCTTCCGATTTATAGCCTAGTGCGTCAACCAACTACGGTATCGCGTGCACCCCTCCCATTTTATGCCACACATATATTAATTAAGTACCAAGCTAAGAAAATATTTCGGGAATGTCGGTACAGTTCCACATGTTCTTAGCCTTAGCACTAGATAGAGGTGAGTGGTTAGCTTGAAGCCTAGGCCGTTTTACCCATGGGGAAAGAGGACCTTGATTTCGCTGGCTATCAAGCTGGGAAAGCCCCACAGCCAGTTTGAAAGGTGTAGAAAAAATGTCCTACCCCTGTCTAGAAGCAGCCCGCGACTTCCTGATAACCAGACCTATGTAACAGGCTCTAGCAACACCTTGGGTTCAGTGCCGTGTGACGTCATGTCTGATGAACTGGTACTGGAGCGGGTGTTTCTTTTAATATCTTCGGGTTTACCTTGATAACCTTCATTCCACCATTGCCCTATTCTCTTCTCTCATTGACCCCCTGATTTGTGAGATAACCCCAAACAAGCAGCACAGTATCACATCCTGGGGCATTATGTATGGAGTTTTCATCTCTGTTCCAGCACTTGTCTGACTGCAGCGTGAGGAAGTTAATGACTTAGTATTAACACTACATGTCACTAGGACCTCTAACCTCGTTGTGGGGGTATATCTCCAGTATTTCTTAATTTTCAGTCCTAGATGAAGGTTAGGGGTTATGATCACGACCCCTGCCGCTTTATCCTTAAAGGAAAAGGGCCCCGGTACACATTTTACAGGCGGCAGTGGGGCCTACAGCTGGCCTGAATGTGGTGCCGAAGAGAAAAATTTCTTTTCCTGTCGGAGTCTCTTGAATGTCAACCACCGTTTCGGAGGAACATATCGCCTCCATCTTCAAGTTCGAATAAGCCGAGCAAGGTATCAGCGTGAAATCAGGTGGCAAGCAGAGTGACTTTCAACGGACTATACCCCGTTATATCCCAGAAGATAGAACTGTTCAATAGAATTCATGCTGTCACATTCAAGGAGAGTATAACCGTCGTAGTCACTTCATGAGAATTTAAAATTTCACGATTTTGCTTTGATTTAGGTTGTAATCTTCGTGTTTAAGACAATGTACAGCTTTCCATTTTCAGTGTAACGTAGTCCTGTTATCTGCACCTTGTTGCACAGGCAGCTTTTGCACCTGAAATATTGATACCCTCTATCAGAATACGGCTTGTGCATACTCACAACTTTACAATGCAAACACTGCGTTAACACCACAAATCACACATAATTTTGATTTCTCTTCTTCCTCATGTACTGCTTGGTGTTCGTGTTTGTTTGTGTAGCTTCTAAAGGCTTCTGACCATGGTGTATATAACACTTAGAATTAACTGCGTTTTTGGACTTTGTCCATCTTCCGGTGTTCTAGAAACTACTGAACAAGATGTTTCGGAAACTGGATCTGTTTCCGTCCTGAGATGAAGGGGGGAAGACATTTACTCCGTTGAGTTGACTAATCAGTCCAATGATTGAGGTTAGGTCTTTCTAAGGGACCCAACTCAGTAGGTGTCTTCCCCCCTTCATCTCAGGACGCAAACAGATCCAGTTTCCGAAACTTTATGCTCTCTAGTTTCTAGAATACCGGACGATGGACAAAGTCCAAAAACTCAATAACAAACAAACAATAATTATTGTTTGTTTGTGATTTATTCAGTGATCCTATCAGAATCTGAGACTACTTTGCATCCAGTGGTATGTTGTTTAGTAAATGATGAATTGAAAGGGATATGGAAGGAAATCTGTTGTTTATTCAGAACCCACTGAGCTAACCTGGTTGTCCTATATGGGCAAACACATTTATGTATATATATATATATATATATACATACATAATGAATTATTTTTTCATCATGTCTTTGATCGTCTTGCATTGAACCGTATACATAACATCTGAGATTTTCTGACTTGGAGCCACGCCTATGCACGAGTATTTCCATGTTATTCCGCGACTTTCATATGCTCTTCAGACTTTTCATATCATTTAAGCTGATTATATCATTGAAATTGTCATACAGATCTGTACAGATAAGCTGATCAGGAGACGTTGCCATCTGTGGCTGATCTCAACATCATAGCCTCATGTTAGCCTTCTACTTCTTACAGGTATACTATAAAGGGCGTCGCGACTCCCGCACCCACGCCTCCCCAGAGCGTCGACCCAGCGCCAAGGAGTCGTCGCCCAGCAAGTTCCCGCGTCTTCCTCGTCAGTCCACCGCGATAGATGAAAGTGGACCCGGGCCGTGGGGGCGTCGCGGATCGCAACCCACACTGTCACCTGACCTCCCCTCTGTTGCCGCAGGAGCGACGTCTGACGACACTTCGGGGCGCAAGGCACGCCGGGATTCACTGTCGCCAGACTCGGCAAGCTACACACGCGGACGAAGGGATTCCAGATCACATTTGTCGCCTGATCGCTTGGAACGTGATGTGTCACCCGTCGGCCGTGGACGGCGGGGTAGACTTCGACGGCAGTCCACGTCTATAACTGGCGGCGCCGGGTACCGGGGTATGCCGCCTCGATCGCCCGAGTCTTCGTCGACTTGTTCCTCGCGTGACCCGTCTCCGTGTAACAGAGCCCCTCCCCCTGCCCCCACGAGCCACGCGCCAATAATTCGTCGGCAGTCCACAACCGAGGAGATTCTGATAGCGAGAGGCTTCCGCAGACAGTCCACGACGGAGGAAAGGATCCGGTGCAGGAATTTCCGACGACAGTCTTCACAAAGCGAAGATCTGTCACGATCACGCGGCAGGAGGGACTCATCAGCACAGATCATCGACGGGACTTTCGCCACGATGACCGTCGAGACGACCAGCACCTTCTTTGACACCAGCACACAAACAGGTTGGTTCACCCTGCACTTGTTCCTTTGTGATGCAAAGAGGAATGATTTCGGCGACGTTGGCGCTTTTAAGTATACCGACCATAAAACATATTTTGTTATAAGTCTGTAGGATAACACAACACTGTTAGCTACTAAAATAGGTAAAAATATCCCTGTAAGGAGCCGTCGAGGCCCATAGGTTTGTGAGACGTCGAGGCTCCCATATGTTACAGATAATCGGCTGACAGATGACGATGTTTGTTAGCCTTACGTGCCGGCCGCCCTTTACCCCCAGGAAGATACCTGGTACTACTTTCTGTTCGAGGCTGAATCGACCCCAGGGCCACAGTGCGCCTGGAAGGATTAGGTAAATTGAAAAAAATCTACCTCATCGGGACTCGAAACCGCGACATTCCGGCTTTTAGCATAGTGCTCCAAGCAACTACGCAACCGCATGCCCCCATGTAAATGAAGATCACTATCATAAGGAATGTGGTGATGGGTTTTGCAAATGTTTCGGAACAACATACTGCCTCCATCTTCAAAATCGAGGAGTTAGCTGCCGATTTAAATGCACAGTTTAATATGAAGTGACCTTGAACTGGAGCTGGTATCGGGAAGGCACCAGTCGCTCGTCACTTCAAGGCAATATTCGCCCTTTACGAAACAAAAAGGCGCGTTACCATGTTCACAAGACCACTTCAGTGCCTAACAAACAAACAAATCCGTTAAATGACTCAGAGTTGATGAATGAGTATAGTTGTCTGTTATGGTAAAGACGTTCGCGAGTCGACTTCCGGAAGGGGCAAGCTTTCTTCTATTCTGTACCGCGTCCAGACCGTCACTGGAGCCCACCTTGTCTCGTACCCAGTGGGTACTGAGGGCTCTATCCCCGAGGACAAGAGGGCCGGGGCGTAATGCCACTCACTTCTGTCTAGTGCCAATGTCTAAGAAAAAATTGAAGTGTACGTTCCCAAGAAACCCAAGGCCCACAGCGGGCTGCGGTGCCAAAGGTAAATGTGTCCCTGTGCTTAAATAATAATGCACAAAACAAGGAAACTTGTGGAAGACTGGAGGTAGAGCTCCACCATTCTTTACCTGGGTAATGGGTAAGTTAACAGCTTCACACCCCGGCCTCTTCTGGGCCAGTCTGGGCGCTATGGAAGAGAGAAAAATGTTAAAAGTTGTGGGATGGAATGTTATGGACCACATTCATCTGGCTGAGGATCTGGGCCACTAGTCAGCTTTGTGAGCACAGGAATGAACCTATGTCACCTAAAATTTTTGAGATATCATCAGTAGACGCGTAATTATTAGTTCTTGAAGAATGATTCAGCTGAATGGCTTCGGTTAGTTATGATTGTTTTATTGCCCTTGTTTTATGTGTGTTAGTTTAAGTACTGTTTCTTGTTTCTTCCATTTAAAGCAAGAAACAATGCCTGAAATCCGAGGCTGATGATAAAAGTTCCTGCTATCGATTATCCCATGAGAAAGCTACATGATTCACTCTTCAAATTTAAACCTCGGAGATTAGGCAGTGTGCTGTATGCCATCATTAAAACAAGAGAAGGGCGATTCTGCGAAAATCAGTTCAGTGGCGCCGATCTGGTGGTGACGCCAGAAACTTAATTCTTTGGGGATTTTTTTTTCTATATTATTGCGGAAAGTGGATACGAGACCACAAGGAAACCCCCGTGTAATTAATACGCTGTAATTTCTTTGTGCCTTTTTGATGCTGTCTGTGAAAAGTTTGCGGTGTCATTGTACAAGCCCGACGAACTGTTTGATCCTTATATATCAATAGAATTCTACGAAAAGTGGTGGGTGTGTAAGGACCCCTTTTATTTTTTAGAATTTCTGAAAGACTTTGTGTTGTTGCAATGCCATTCCATGGCTTTTTCTATATATTTTACTTTACAATTAACCCCTTCTATGTTATGGACATTTTGCTTTATGATACTCGAATAGGAAGAAGGTCCAAAGAACCCAGAAGACACTGAAAGTGAACGGAACATGCCTGCTTCTGGTCTATGCTGATGGTGTTAATTTGTTTCGCTAAACCAAGAATGTCATAAGGAAAACACAGAAGCTGTAATAGGCACTAGTAAAGAGGTTTATCTGGAGCACTGGTTCTCAAATTTCGAGACCTCGGACCCCTATGCAACACACTGCGTACACAAGGAACCCCACCGTTTGCATTTAAATTATTTACATACGAGTATCAACGAAAATTAAAATAAAATAATTCATTTTAAATTATTTAATTTCTGTAACGAGGCACGCGGTAGCGTAGTTGAATGAGGCACTATGCTGCAAGCCAGAAGGTCGCGGGTTCGAGTCCCGATGAGGTGGACTTTTTTTCAACTTACATAATCTTTCCAGCCGCACTACGGCCCTGGGGTCGACTCAGCCTCTAGCAGAAATGAGTACCAGGAATCTTCCTGGGGGGTAAAGGACAACCGGCGCGTAAGGCTGACAACCTCACCGCCATCTGTGAGCCGACTGTCTAAAGAAAATGTGGGAGCCTCGAGGTCTCACAACCCTATGGGCCTTCGCAGCCTGTCACAGGGATAGCTTTTAATGCCTTCACCATATTTACAAAATGTTTGACGCCTTTTGCAATGTATTTTCGTAGCGGAATCGTTTAATGACAAAAATCTCCAAGTCACCACAATGTAACCACCATAGACTCCCGTGCGCAATTTCCAGTCCACAATATTTCTTATACCATTACAGATTTTGTAAAATATTAGAATTATTCAATACCATTGTTTTCTCTTTTAACTTATGAAGACCATAAGAAGTTCAGGGAAGAACTTATCACCTACTTTCCTTTGATACGACGCGGACCCCATAGGAAAAGAAAAATTCCGAAGGAGGGTGGGGTCACACAGACGGCAAGGTGATTTCATAAGCCTAAAAAATTAAAGGGGGGTACACACACAGACAGAGAGCAAGGGTATTTTATAAACCTTCTTTTATTTATTTATTTTTTTTTTTCAAAATAAGAAAGTCAGTCTAAAAATAATCTCGCGAAATCCGAGTCCGCAGACCACAGTTTGACTACCACGAGCCTAGAAGTAAATGCAGAGAAAACTCGGTATGTTTTGACGTCTCGTCACCTGAATACAGGGGAAACCGTGACACATAGATCTGTAGGAGATCCTTTCAGAATGTGACGTTCAGGTATTTGGGACCCGAGTTGCGTTCGTGAAGAAATAAACAACAGGTTAAATTCTAGTAATGCTTGCCGGCATTAGGTTGGGAATATTGTGACGTGTTTCAGGAGCTGCTTGAATGGAAAAGTAGCGATTCCGGTCTAGAAGACCGAAATTAACGGCCGTGGGAATCCGTTCGGCTGACCACGCGACAAACTCTACCCATAAAAGTTGGCACTAACTTCGCCAACAAGCGGCGGTAGCTCGGTCGGTATAGTTAGCTTGCGGACTGAAAGCAACGGAGTTATTTTTTGTTTAAAGGCCGCTCCATAGCTCAAGCGGTTAGTCGCTGGCTTCCCACCGCGGCGGCCCGGGTTCGAGCCCGGGTCTGGTCAAGTGGGATTTGTGGTGGACAAAGTGGCGCTGGGGCAGTTTTTCTCCGAGTACTTTGGTTTCCCCTGCCAATCTTCATTCCATCACATTCTCCATCATCATAATCACCCGGGCAGGTACAATAGGCCAATCAGTGGCCGCTGTGCCGAGTGAACCCAGCTGGACTCCACCCTCTACCAAGCGAAAGAAATTATTTTTTGTTTATTTCAGTGACTAAAACACGGGCTTGGATTGCTGATGCGGTTTATTGGATCTTCACTAATCGTAACTACAATTAGCTCTTATACTCCCAGAATTACTGTCACTGTAGCACATGTAACGCCACACACTGCGTCTTCTAATTCTTATTCTGGCCACAGTGCTGTTTCCTTGGAGATTCGGAACTGAAATGAAGTCAATTCCCTGAAATCGAAGCGGAACAGATCTGCATGGGCTGGAGCACACATGGAACACAATACGAATGCATGCGGAATTTTGGTTGAATCCTATTCATCGGAAGGAAATCAGTAGTCACTTAACGGAAGGACGCTTCTCTGGGCAATGCGGGGATTGGAAAGACATGTTAAAGGCTATGTTACTTTTCTCACTTCTTCTCCCGCTCCTTAGAGTTAGTCTTCGTCATTTTATCCTCCTTCTACATCTTCACCTCCTTTATTTACTTCGCATTCTCCATCTATTCACAGCCTTCTTCCTCATCACTTTCTCTCTTTCACCTCCTCTCATTCTTATCTTATACTTATTAATTTTCTCTTTTACCTTAAACCTCTTCTTCTGCTTCTCTAATCTAGGAAGACGCAGAGATTTACATCCACGCCTCCCTTTCCTTTTAATAGCCCGTCTCTTAAGCGCAGGCGCGTGTCAACCATAACCCTCCCAGGCTCTGAACTCGCAGTTGTCCTGGTCAGACACTCAAAAGGAGAGAAATAAGAGGTGGAATAGAAGAGAGAGGAAGCAAATCAGGAAAGGAAGAAGAATAAAAATATAAAGCAGGAGAATATGGAAGAGAAAGAGTATATTAACTAAAAAGGGAAAGAAAAGGATAATAGGATGAGGAAAATATGTCGTCTTGAGACTTGAAGTAGTATATTTTGGTGTCTGAAAGTCGGCTGTCTGAAGGGTCCAGAGCCGTCACATTTACAGGCTCTGACAAAACCGAGACTCCCGTCCGACGCCCTTGCAGTCACCTTGCTCATCACCCCCATCCCACAGTCTTCGCGTGTGCGTTTCGCCGCCAGCGCTTACGTGAAAATTAATTGCCGTCGGAAACATATCAGTCGCCATAGACAAGATGGCTGTTACAGATCTGAGTGCAAGAGCGGATGAAAACAACCATCTGATTCGTCGTCCCTAATACTAAACCAGAAGGAAATAGGAGAGTGGGAAGACCAAGGTTAAGATGGGAAGAATGTGTGTGGCAGGACATAAGAATTTTGGGTGTAAAGAACTGGAGGAATGTAGCATCGAATAGA